TTACAAATCCTCAAAAAATGACTGAAGTACTGTAACTAAATAAATGTACTTACAGTAGTTACTGTACACCTCTGTTCATTCTCTAGTTTTCATTTAGATCTATAAACTGTACATTTGTAAAAAGAGCACAGACTGTGGCTTAGTGMTTGATATTGTTCAACTGCTCCGATTAACTGTAGACCTGCTGGGAGGGAAAGTTGTGTTATTAAGCTTTAAACCACCAGGGGACAGTATGGTTCTTTAAATACAGAACTGAAGAAGGAACAATGAATAGAAGAACCAATAATTCAAATCCTCCTGTGGCATTACTCAATCATTCAGTTCTTACTCTAGCTTTTGACAGAAAATGTTCATGTAATTCGTAGCATTGCTTCTGTTATTTGTTTGTTTTTCATTCTGTCTCTGCACTATTGATGTGTGGAGTATATAGTTCCGTACAACGATTGCCTTTTGTGAAGAGCTGTGTTTCTCTCGGCTCTTTGCCTTCCTTCTCCCACCCACACCCCCCCAAGCCTCTTAGCGCTCCAAGGCCACCTCAACGCAGACTCAATGAATGAGAAGCACTTTAAAAATCTGCGGCTGCACTCATCCACAAASCTCCCGCACTCTGCTCCCAGCTCTGTCTCCAAGGCTCAGCTCAGAGATGGGCACGCTGAAATCAGAATGCATTTTAAAGCGAACAATAGCAACATCTATGAGGCATGCATTATAGACTTATCTGTTGAGGTTTGTGTGTTCTTCTCATCTAATCTGTGTAYACTCCGGCAAACAAATCAAACTGAAAGTATTTTATTATTGTGTGCCAATGAATGGTCATTTTGAAGTGTCCTTAGCTGTGATGAGTGTGTGGATCAGGGCAGTGTAGATGAGTACTGCTGACGATGACACACCGCTCTGTGGATTTTAGGTGGTGAACGGCCCTATGGATGTTGTGAAAAGTATTGACCGGATGGTAACCCACTTGAGTCCTCGCTTGGCAGCAGAGACTGACCACCTGACCATTCACAGTCCAAACATCAGTGAGTATCAAATAAAAAARATATGGCTCAGGAATTTTGCTACACAAAGGTGATACATCTGAGCCATGATCTAGAGCTGTCATCAAGAAGCTTTAGAAACCACAGAAATACAATTATGTAACAAGTGACCTTCAAAAAACCAACCAAGTCAGAATCTGGTCTAAGATAAGCAAAAAGCCTTACATGATTCAAAACTAATGCTGAGTTATTGGCTGCAGATTTCATTTTGATTTTTATTTTAAGGGATGATAATATTATTTATATAGCACATTTCAGTAACAACACAATTCAAAGTGCTTTATGTGATTAAAAAAGAAGTAGAATACATTGGCTTCACAAAGGAAAGGAAAAAAATTGGACTTTAGACTGAAATTAATGGTGTTTTAGTTTAAGTTAGTATTAAAAAAC